GGGTCTGTTCCTCTAGCATCAGACTCCCGGGGTCTGTCCCTCAGTGCCATGCTCCCAGGGTCTGTTCCTTCAGCACAAGATGCTGGGGTCTGTTCCTCTAGCATCAGACTCCCGGGGTCTGTCCCTCAGTGCCATGCTCCTAGGGTCTGTTCCTCTAGCACAAGCTCCTGGGGTCTGTTCCTTCAGCACCAGACTCCCAGGGTCTGTCACTCAGTGCCGTGCTCCCAGGGTCTGTTCCTTCAGCACAAGCTCCCAGGGTCTTTTCCTCCAGTACAAGCTCCTGGGGTCCGTTCCTCTAGCACCAGACTCCCAGGGTCTGTCCCTCAGCACCATGCCCCCGAGGTCTGTCCCCCCAGTGCCAGGGTCCTGAAGTCTCCCTTCCCAGTCCTTACATCCTGCGAATCCCTAGCCTGTAGTCACATGGCTTGTTTCTCCATTGGGCTCCATTGACTGGCTTCCTTCTAGTGGGTCAGGTTTCTGCTTAAAATGTCCCCTCTGAAATTAAGTCTGCCCCGTTCACCCAATGCGGGGTACCTTCTGTCTTCTAAATCAGTAGTTCTCACCTAGGGGTGATTTTACCCCTGGGGGACATTTCCCAATCTGAAGACATTTTTGGTTGTCACATATCAGAGGAGGGGTGCTTCTGCCATCTAGGAAGTGGAGGCCAGGGATCTGCTGGACAGAACAGCCCCTGGCAACTAAGAGTGAGCCCACCCTAGCGCCACCACAGCTTTGGAAACCCTGTTCTAATGGTTTTGTTGTTTCCTGCTTTTTTCTTTTCTTCATAGCCTTTACAATGTCGAGATTATCTTATCATTTTGGACTTCTTTGTAACCTTTTGTCATGCATCTCCCAGCCCTGGTGGGACAGACGCTCCCACTGTGAAAGGCCTCCCTCTCTTGGGAGGTCCCATCCCTCACTGCACTGGCCCCATCTGCCTGGGGAGGGTTGGTCCGGAGCTCTGGCTGCCCATAGGCCATTCACCTGGTCATAAGGTGGTTCTTTTTGACCAACTTATGGAGGTGCATTTAACATACTACACAGGGGATATGTGTTTTGGTAACACTTGTAAATATAAGATATTTGTCCTCAAGGAGGGCACCCCAGGATGTTTTCCAACAAATTCTCCAGCTGACTATCCATCATTCAGTTCAGTCCTGACATTCCCAGAGTTAGTGTTCATACCTCATGGGTTTGAGGGCTCAGTCCCAAAAGACTCCTTCCTATCACACACCAGTTACCCACACTCTGTCCAAACTGGTCACAAAGCAGTGGTTTCCCACAGCTGTCTCCTTAAGTTCGATTATGCACTAGAACAGCTCACAGGAGTCAGGAAGGTGCTTTGCTTAATATCACAGAGTGTCCACCATGGTCCAGCAACCCGGATGCTCCCCCAGCTCTGTCCTCCAGGGCTGTATGGACACTCCAGCATGCAGGGATGGCTAAGTACCTCAGTGGCCTCTGGAGATTGACTTAATCTCCAGCCCCTCACCCCTACCTGGAGTTGAGGAGAGCACTGAAAGTTTCAAGATTCTAACCAAGGCTTGATTTTTCTAGTGACCAGACCCCATCTCGCAGCTATCTGAGAGTGAACACCAGTCACCTTCTTAGCATAAACTCAAGTTTGATTGAAAGGGGCTTGTTATGAATAACAAAAGATGCCACCCTCACTACATCACTCAGGAAATTCTAAGGATTTTAGGAGCTGCACGACAGTAACTGAAAATGAAGACCAAATATACGTATGTATTTATTACATCACATCCTATCTTGTATTTGCTTTGGCTGCCCTTCCTGAACCTGGACATACCCAGAACACAGTCAGCCTTCAAAAAATATTGTTGACAAAAGAATGAATGAATGAGTAATAAGAGATGAGAAAACACTGGCTTTGAGTGTTTTCCTAAGGCTTTGATGCATCTTGAGTTGTCTCCCCAGTTCTTCTTAGGAAGAGACTTGGAGAGGCTGGTCTGGCTGGAGGGGCAGCTGCCCAGTGGACAGAGGCTCTGGCTAACCCTGTCTGAAACCCTGTTGTCGTCTCTTCTCTTCTGAGACTGTCAGCTTCCCGACTCTCAGGGCTCATTTATTTACTTTGCTTCACTTAAGATATCTTTGTTCTTGTCTAGGGATGTTCTGCCCATTCTGTTGTGTCCGGATGATGTACATTCTCGTCTTGGAACTTCCAGAGCCATGTTTTTTTTTTTTTTATATTTTATTTATTTATTTATTTTGGTGGGGGCTGGGTTTGAACCTGCCACCTCTGGTATATGGGGCTGGCGTCCTACCCCTTTGAGCCACAGGTGCCATGTTTTGTTTTAAAAAATCTGATTAGACCTTCTGCACCAGAAAGACAGAAGGGTGGGAACTCCCTCCCCACTGTGAGTCCTGGTTAGAGTCTCATTTTTAACCCTGCCTCAGCCTTGTCTTCAACATGTGAAAAAATGTTTTCTTGGCTTTAGAGATGGAGTTTCGAAGTAGGGGATCTTGCCCTTTTGTTTCTTTGGTTTGAAAGAATTGTTTGTACCATGGGATGGGTCAGGGGTGGCTAAGCAAGTTTGAAGCAGAGGTTTGAACATCCAGTGTCCCTCCAGCTGCCCTGGGGGAGGTGGGGGTAGGGCCTGAGATAGCCGGCCTGGCCTCCCCAGACCTCCCCTTCCACCCCCTACTTCTCCTTCTCTGCTCTTGTCCCTGCTTCCCCAGCTTCTCTGCTGGACTCAGGTCTCAGTGTGTGCTGACCCGCCTTTCCCTATCTGTGCCTTGAGACCTTAGTGAGATTTCTTGGACAATTACATTTTGCCAATTTTGTGCATTATGTTCCTCTCTTGTAGAGTCACAAAAGCCCTGAAAAACCCTGCTGTAAAGAATTCTCTGCTTTTGTCCATCTCACCTTTTCTCCAAATAGTTTAAGCATGGAACACTTAACAGCAGCAAGTCAAACATTCTGTGGGTGGAACATGTTTGGGAAACACTGTTGGCTATTTCTTGGCCAGCGTATTTTGAGAATACATAGGCTTTTCGGTCCAAGGCAAATGAACATTTCTTCTGGTGATCTGATTGTTCAAGCCTTCAGCTGATACACAGAGATCTTACTGTGGGCTTAGTTAATGTCATCTCTCCGAGGACAATAAGGATTGCTTGAAGGGTGTGTGTGAAGTTGAAGGTGAGTCTACTGCATGTGGGTAATTCTTCATTGGTTAGGAATACTAACATATATAGACTCTCCTATCTTTGATTCTCATTTCAAATATTCTTGGTATTCACTGACCAATTAAAAATAATCATAGTAATCGTTGATGATGCTATTATTATCAATGTAACCTACCTTTTATGGGACGCTAAATATGTGTCAGGTATTATATAAACTCAAGTTTTACATGTATTGACCAATTAAGTACTTGTTACTTATAAAGGCTGTAAGGTCTTATTATCTTGATTTTACTGTTGAAGAAAGCAAAGCTCAGAGAGGGTATGTGGCTTGCTCATTAGATACTTTTTTGTATGACATCTACAAGGTGTTATTTGGGTAACAATACATTTTATAACTTCAGGAATCTATTAATGGAGTTTTAGGAAGTATGTTTTCCCCAGGATGATGAAAGTGAAAAATTATTTTGGGGTCTGAAGTGCTGTGTTACTCAGAGGAATATTATGCCTTGGACTTAATTGCTTAATAATGTTAAAGTCAATTGTTTTTTTTTAAACTATGATACACTCTACTGAAGGAGAGAATCATTCATTGTTTCTAAATTTTCATTAACTTTTGCTTCCTAATCTGATTATAAAGGTTAGCTCTAGGTTAGAGACTACTGATGCTACTGGGAGGGAAAAAACATGTTTTCTCCGCCTGCTCCCATCCTGGCCTTTCTTCTTAGTATTCTTTAGATCTTCCATGGACTGAAATGCACTGATATTTTAATTCGTCCCTCAAATTTATAGTCATTGACTGTGCATGAATCTGAGAATGATTGCAAAATCCTGGGATTTGGGGATCTTATAACTTAGATGTATTAAGACAGAAATGTTAGAGGATGCATGGATTGTCACAGGGCTGGTGGTCCTGGTGTTTTGGGGGGTACATTTAGTGGCATAAGGACCTGAAGCTTGTCCCTCTATTGTATATGATTTTCTATGACTTGCTTGTGACCAGGCAGGCTTTGCTGAAATTTACAGAGAACTTATATTCTCTGGAAAAGAGAATGTGAACCTCTATCTCTCCTTGGAAGATGCTCTCTGGATTATTGCTAATATTACATAATGTAATGAAACTTCGTTTCTTTTTGTTTAGGAAATCTAACATTTTTTCCCCATGAAGAGGAAACATTCCGAAGGAACTCAGGATGTAAGAATAGAGGTCTTTACAAGCATCTTCACGGATGGCATGTCAATCCATCAACGTGAAGACCATGATATCTTCTGATTTCTTGTGCGTTTCCATGTTCTCCAGCCATAATAATTCTACTTTTTTCTCTGCCATGGGAAAAACCTGAAGGGCAGGCAGAATTGCTTGTGAACTTGTGAACTTCTTCATCACTGCAGTGTCTGTTCTAGAACATGACTATCAGAGATTACTTCCTTTTGTTGTCTTTCGGGGTTGAACCAAAGAATGTGCTTCCTGATTCTCTAGTGCTTTGGTGTCTGCTCATTTTTACATTTGTTTCTGTTGCTGTGCCTTCCAACCATCTTATGTAACCACAAGACATCATTAAAGTTTTCCAGCACGACTTGCACACTTCCGGACTCCTGGGGGTGCTCACTCACAGGCCAGCAAACCAGCAGTCCTGGGTACTACCATGAGGCACTGCATTAATTGCTGCATACAGTTGTTACCTGAGGGTGCACACAAACAGCAGGTTGGCTGCCGAGGAGGCCCCGATCACGGTCACCAGGTGTGTCCCACGTGTAGAGGAGAAAACAAAATTCTGTTTCATGTGGATAGTAAGCAGATGAACCTGCTTGCTGTTCTCGAAGTGAGGACTGAAGGAAATGAGAGCTGGGGTGGGTTTTTGCGCTTTAAGAAGGGGAAGCGATGTAGCCTGGTCTTTGGATTGATAATAATGACCTTGGTGATGGCTTCTTACATCCTTTCTGGGGCCCACCAAGAGCTTCTGATCTCATCGCCTTTCCATTATGGAAGTTTATCCAGCAATCCCAGCCTGATGGACAGTGAAAACCCAAGCGACATGAAAGAACATCATCACCAACTCTCTGTAAATAATATTTCATACATGAAGGACTATCCAAGCATTAAATTAATTATCAACAGCATCACAGCCAGGATTGAGTTCACCACCAGACGGCTCCCAGGCTTAGAAGACCTCAAGAAGCAGGAATTGCACGTGAGTAGTCTTGTGCTCATCTTGATTGATTATTTGATTTTTAAAATGACTTCCTTTTCCATCACCATCTTTGGGAACACAGAATAAAAATGACTAAAAAATTTCTCAGCTGTATCAAGGAGGATTTGACAGCCTTATGGCTCAGAAAGTACTGAGAGGGTGCTGTCAGCCTATGCTCTGGAACAGCAAGAAGAAAGTCAGTTGTCCTGAATGGCACAGCTAAAAAAAATATTTAAGGGCCACCCCCTCTCATCATTGCATTCCATGAACTTCTTGCTTAAAACGTGGTCATGGTGGTTAAAGTTGCTTTTACAGAACACCATCATTAGGGATTTAGGAAGTTAGGTTCGATTTGATTTCCTGTTTGTTCTGTCCTAATCAGTATTTCTGTTTCTAGTGGCAATTTAAATATACAACTAGGAAAGAGATTCCAACTGTTTCATTTAATTAGATTTCCGTGTGTGTGTGTGTGTGTGTGTATGAGAAAGGTAAATTATGGGAGAATAGATTTTGATTAAACTTTTTTTTCCTCCCCTTCCACCCCATTTTTTCTTTTTAATTTTGGGGAAAGGAAAACACAGTTGTTGGCTGTCTACCGAATTTTGCTTTATTTTCTTTTTAGATCATCAAATAGTAGTTCTCATTTGAACACTCCCGTCAGTATTAGGGCACGTTCGTCCTAGGGTTTGAACTGTCCTTGTTAATTTTTTGGCGTGTCTCTCTCTTTTCCAACGCAGATGTTTTCAGTAATCCCCAGTAAGTTCCTCCCCAACAGTAAGAGCCCCTGCTGGTACGAGGAGTTCTCGGGGCGGAACACCACCGACCCCTACCTGACCAACTCCTACGTGCTCTACTCCAAGCGTTTCCGCTCCACGTTCGACGCGCTGCGCAAGGCCTTCTGGGGCCACCTGGCGCACGCGCAGGGCAAGCACTTCCGCCTGCGCTGCCTGCCGCGCTTCTACATCATCGGGCAGCCCAAGTGCGGGACCACTGACCTCTATGACCGCCTGCGGCTGCACCCCGAGGTCAAGTTCTCCGCCATCAAGGAGCCGCACTGGTGGACCCGCAAGCGGTTTGGTGAGTGGTGGTCCGAGAGGGCAGGCTCTTCCCTTTCGTCCCCGCGTTCATTCCCTCATTCATTCGTTCCTTAGGCACCCATAGGGCTGAGGGTCCCAGGGAGACAGAGCTGGGGGTGAGAAGACACTGACACGCAGAGATCCAACAGTTGACCTGTCATCAGTTCACAGGCAGAGAACTCACAGGGCCTGGCACTTGGTTCCCAACTACCCAGTGAGCACTGATTAAGTGCCAGCTGTGTACAGGGTAAAGGGTCAGGTGGACACCTGTTGGGTTGTCTTGCTCTCAGAGCCCAGGCACATGAGCCCAGCCATGAGCAGGCCGGTCGCAGAGAGCTGGGAACACTTAGCCCCGGGGCCTAGCTCCCAGCTCTGTGCTATTCAGGCTAGGGCGCCTGCACCTGGGGGAGAGTAAAGCCGCTTCTGGCCTCAGCTTCTTGGACCTTCCCTGTCTGCCCCATGGGTTCAGTATGAAAAACACATGGAGATAATTCTGGAAACCTGCTGTCAGCAGCCCTCTGCCCTAGGACTGACTTTGACACTGCCTGGCCCTGCCTGCTCCAGCCCTGCCCCGCCCGCCTGCCCCAGCACCCTGCGGCTCTCTCTCAGGTCACTGTTTCCTCTCTCTGACCTTTTTCCTTCTGCCAGGAGACATTTGGTCACTGGAGCTAAGGGGTGATACATGCCTGTTGTTGGCCATACTCTAAGTGAGCCACAAGGACATTTTCCACGTAAAGGACCCAGGTTGCCTAGAAGACGTTTTCCTTAAACCAGCTCTTAATGTTCTCTTGACAAATGTTTGATTTTATCCTTTTGATGTTCATTCTGGAGTGAAGGACATTGTAAATGTTTCTTTTGTGGTTTAACAGCAGCTGCTATAGGAGCCAAGGTTTCATGTCTGTGTGTGTTTGCCGGATGTGTCTGAACACACTCCCCTGTAGTAGGGTGAACCTTCTTCCCACAAGGCTCACAGTGATTTCCCCTTAATGAAAACCAGCTTCTCACTGGCAGGAAGGAGGGAAGAACAGAGGCGTGCCCCTGGAAACTGGTCTTTAGTGTCACCTTGAACCTCTTTGTTATTTTGCCATGGACATTCTATTTCTAATTTCTATTGACTTTAGAAGCTGTGGTGTTGGGCAGTGTGTTTTTAAAATGTTTGCAAGTGAAATTTTTTCATTTTTAAGGCAAGGGGCAGATTTAGGCTGTGTGTAGTTGATGCCGAAATCCATGTCTGTTTGGGGACAATCTATTCCCTGTGTTATTTGGACAAATGGAAGGGCTATAGCCCTTTTTCCTGTCTTCCTGTTTGGTACAATGCATGCATCCTGGATTTATTGTCCAGCCATCTTAGAGACCCACCTGGTACACATAACAACCAGTCCAAACTCTCTGGCTTTCCAAGCAGATAGATCAGTAGCTATTGAATATGTGTACTGTCCTTTAAGCTGCCTCTGCCAAGCTTAGTGGTGATGTCTTTTACGCCTGGTAGTTGCGCGGGTTAAAAGAGACCATCCAGTTCTCAGGGGTCACCATCTTCATCCCCATTTGACCCTCCTGAAGCTTGCCTGGGCTGAGCCTTTTGCTGCTGCGGCTGGGTCCCTTGGGTCTTTCCATCTCTTCCCCTGGTGACTCTGTAGGAGGCCACAACCCAGCACTGGCAACTTTGTCCTCAGTAATTCCTGATTCTTGGTTCCCATAGGAATTGTTCGCCTGAGAGATGGGCTGAGAGACCGCTATCCTGTAGAAGATTATTTGGACCTTTTCGACCTGGCTGCACACCAAATTCATCAAGGACTACAGGCCAGCTCTGCAAAGGAGCAGAGCAAGATGAATAAAATCATTATCGGTAAGGCTTCCAGGTAGCGCCCAGGAGGGCTGGCAACCCTCAATGGGGTCCCAGCTCATCTCTAGGCCAGACCCAGCTTTGCTTCTCCTGCAAAATGTTTGCTGCAGACTTCTAATGACCCTCTGCTTCCCCACCTGGCCATCACTCTTACATAAAAAGGTTCGCCTCACTTGTATAAGTTTTTTTTTTTTGAGACAGAGTCTCACTATATTGCCCTTGGTAGAATGCCATGGAGTCATAGCTCACAGCAACCTCAAACTCTTGGGCTTATCTGATTCTCTTGCCTCAGTCTCCTAAAAAGCTGGGGACACAGATGCCTGCCACAGCACCTGGCTATTTTCTTTGTCATTGTTGTCGTCGTCGTTTAGCAGGCCCTAGCTGGGTTCGAACCCACCAGCCCCCGTGCATGTGGCCAGCACCCTAACCACTGAGTTACAGGCGCCGAGCCTCACTTGAATAATTATTATAGAGTGGAAATGTTTAGTTGACTTTCTAATTCCCTGGAGACTCAAGGAAGCTCAGGGTTTTTTTTTTTTTTTTAAGTTGCCATTTTTCAAATTAAGCAGGCATATTTGACTTCTTTTCCTGATTTATTGATCTGAGTAGGTTTGAATGGGGAATCATATATGCAGTTAACTGATTAGTCATTGATTTACTACTTGGGGCTTGTGTACTCCTTGGCCACTGGGACCACAGAAGGCGGGTAGCTTCTCCTGAACTAGATGCAGCCCTAACACATGGTCTGTGACTGATTGCTGTCTTAAAAGCCTAGCCTTTGTCAACCTAATGCCTTTGGGCATTCAGAATGAGGTGGTTTGATTAGTGATCATTTGTGTTAAATATTCACAAGCGTGTTTTATAAATATTCACTCTTTTAAAATTTATTTTTTAATTGTATATATTTAAGGCATACAATGTGATGTTTTGATATACGCATACAAAGTGAAATGATTATTATAGTGAAGCAAATTAGCATATCCAAATCCTCCCAGCCTTTTTTTTGGTGGTAATAGCACCTGAAATCTACTCTTTTGGCACATTTGCAGTGTTAAAATCCAACATTATTGACTATACTTCTCATGCTTTACTTTAGATCTTTAGACTTACTTATTGGACATAAATCTTTTTACTGGATTCAGCTTAAGAGACATTTATCCACTTATGACTTCCAAAAGAGAGAAATTTAATCATCTGTTTTGCCTAAATTGTTTACCTAGGGCAATGGTCTTTTTTTTTTTTTAAATATTTACTAGATCTGTTATGTCTTGATTCTTCAAATTAAATAAATCTGCTAGCTACTAAGAGGAATCACAATCAGTCTTTTAAAAGATAATTTTTTACTTATAATTCTCCTGTCCAGGGGGATAGGCTGAGGTGCCTATGCCCCGATTTACGTATTCTTTTTTAGATCAAGTCACTGAGAGCCACCTCCAGTATGAATTGGCTGTTAGCTAGTCATGAGCAAAGTGGGTTCAAACTCCCCAAATCACCAGTTTAATGTATATCATTTCACTGTGACTCCCGTACCTTATGCCTCTGGGAAATTCTCATGCTCTTATGAAAGCGTTGAAAATACGCATCCTCAGGCCAGGAAGTGGAGACTAAGATAATGAATAAAAAGGAAAGCCTTAGTTTAGTTTTCTAATTTTACTTAGATCTAGATTTTTAAAAGGACAGAAAGTAAAATTACTGTGCTGGTATTTTCTTAAAGCAGAATTTGGTGGTGCGTTTTCTGGTAGCCTGGTAGTGTGATAGGCAGGGTAGAGAGGCAGATGAAGAGCTGACATTGAGCCCTGCATGTGCCACCAGCGAGCTCTGTGCTGTGCAACAGGTTATTCTTCCTGTTTCTGGGCTCAGTCTGTTTGCCTGTAAAAGGGGATTGCAGAACCAGGTTGGTTCCAGACTCCTCCCAGCACTGAAATGTGACTCAGCCCTGCTACTGCTCTTCCTTCTGCCTAGATCCTGGGCAGAGGCACGAGGGTCCTTCACATCTTGGGCCCATAGGTCAGAGAGGGCCTTTCCTCAGTCTGTGCTAAAGCTAGAGTCACACTGGAGGTTTAGGACTCATGTGGCCTGAACTTGGAGCTGACCTTGGGGAGGGGGCTTTTGCCATGTTGGAAGGCCCCACATCTGTTCCCAGGGCACCCCTCGTGCTCTGATTGTTTTTTGAGTTTCTTCTTCTCTTAGACTGTGAAGTCTGAGAGTGTAGGGACTGTGCTTTGTTTCCTTCATCTGTCCCCAGTGCCAAGCACACCAGGAGCACACATTAGACACCAAATGAATGCTTTCTGGATACATGGATGGATGGAAGGAAGACAGGCAGATCACAAATGCTTCTAGGGTTCTAAAGCCAGTTCATTTCTGAGATTGATAGAATGTGTGCGTTTCGGTAGATAGATTGCTTGTCCTTTATATTCCTTTATTTATCGTGAGTAGAGTTTTCAGAGGACTTCTGATTGATTTGTCTGTTCTGTATCCTGGGGTGTTATCTCTTTTAAAAAATAAGAAAGAAGAAAAGTCCAGAACAGAGATGTTGACCTGAATGTGATTGTACATCCAGCAGAACAAACAGGGCCCTACTCCCTCCCAGCAGTACTACCATGACTTATCCCTTTCCTCTCAGTAAATGGCTTTGAGAAGTGTCCTATGGTCCTAGACCATAGATCTAGGTAAATGGTAGGAAATTAAATATAGGACTGATTGATTTATCTTTCTAAATCGCTGGACTGTCCTAAAAAAGCAAAAAAAAAATCACCAGGAAATTGTTGCATCATGTGAGAGTCTATGTTGTTGAAATGATCTGTATCTTGGCCTCAGCTCTGTCCTACTTAGAATGTGTGTGACTGTTTTCATCCTTCAGTTGTGAAGACCTTGATTAAATCAGGGGCTAGGACCCAGTCAGCACTGAGTAGGCATCAGTTGTATGCAGAGTGATGGCTATATAGGAGTTAGAACCTGAGAGACTGTGAGCTGTTTAGCAAACAGCTCCCTCTCATTTGGTGTTCGAGTGTGCTTTGTGACTAGCAAACAGCTCTCTCTCATTTGGTGTTCAAGTGTGCTTTGTGACTTACCACTGTGGTTCAAGGAAATATCGATGCAAATGGCACTCACCTTCCTAACGAGGGTTAGCTACCCCAACTGCACTCCCTTATCCCTGATGCTTTTTGAGGAAACAAGTACATTCTCAGAGGGCTCTTAAAATGCCACAGAGCTATGCACTGTGAACAAAGTTAAATATTGTGAAATTGGGGGGCCAGATGCCGCTAATGGTTTTATGTTTTGCTCACCTTGGAGAGAAGAGCTCATGGGGACACTCAATGTTGCATGGATTTCCAGGCAGAGGTTTTGGGGTTGGGGGGATGGCACCATGGCAGGGCTGGTCATTAGTCCTCTGCTTGGAGTCCCATCTGCCAGTGATCCTGATCCACTCGCCTATCATGGCTGCTTAAGGCATCAGGATGGACTTGTCTTCTGGCACACAGGGCTGCTCAGAGGAGCCCAAATTCAGCAAAGGCTCACGCTCAGTGTTTCTGCTTGTAGGGGAGGCCAGTGCCTCCACGATGTGGGATAACAATGCCTGGACATTTTTCTACGACAACAGCACAGACGGAGAGCCGCCCTTTCTGACCCAAGACTTTATCCACGCCTTTCAGCCAGATGCCAAACTGATTGTCATGCTCAGGGACCCCGTGGAAAGGTGAGAAATTCTGTGTGTTGTATTTGGGGTGAAAAGAAAAGGTGCTTTTGAAGAACCATGTTTCTTTCTGGTCCCAAACAAGATTTTGCCTCTTTTTTACAAAAAAAAAAACAAACCTAATTTGCAGTGTTATGGCTATTTCTTATGTAAATGTTATTCTTGGTGTAATCCTGTGTTTAAACAAATCATAGACTTTTTTTTTAACCATCCTGATTCTGGTCTGTGGGCCTTTAGCCTCTGGTGAGCCTGACCTGGGGACATGAAATGGTGCCTTTGGACTGGTCCTTGGGAACTCTTAGGGTTTAGGAATCACTGTCAGAACCAGGGGAGGAGGGGTCCTCTGGGTGGTTTAACTTCTGGATTCCACATCTCCTGACTCGGTTGGTGACCTTTATTCTCAACAGCCCTGATGTGCATCTCCAGCTCTCTTTGGGAGACCTAAAGGTAAAAGAGTGATGGGCAGAGCTGCTGTGCCTTTCGGTCAGGGGTTGCCCAGTATGGGTGAGGCAAACAAAGCTGGTGTGATGTCAGTCAGTATGGGGTGGCCTGGCCAGCGCTGGGCAGTGCTGACGTTATGCCTGTGTGACTCGCAGAATCTTAGGGCTGCCAAGGCCTTTCAGAAGTATCTAGTACAATGCTCTGGACAAGGACCACTATGTCAGAGATGGGGTGGGGTGTGGGGTAGTTTGCTGTGAGGGCCTCTGAGACAGAGAGTTCTCCTGCCAAAATGACCCAACTAGCTCAGGACAGCTCTGCTCTTATTCTGAAATCAAGCCTTTGGGACCATCCACTCTTTGTTCCCATTTCTTTTATGCAAAGCCACACAGACAAAGTCTAGTGCTTTTCAAATGGGAGAGCCTACCAGATATTTAAAGACAGGGGCTCCAGCCCTTTGTGTCCTGATTTTGGGCTAATTACATCATGTTAAGCATGCCAAAATGATGTGCTGACGTCCAAATTCCCAGTGTGTGTGACTGTGCCCTTATTCATACATGGGATCCTTGCAAGTTAAAATGAGGTCATGTTGGGTTAGGGTAGACGCTCACCCCCACTAAGACACAGGGAGCGTGAGCGAGGGATGTGGAGGGATTGCGGTCACAAGCCAAGGAGTGCCAGTAGCCACCAGAAGCCAGGAGAGGCCTGGGACAGGGACAGGTCCTCCCTCAGAGACTCTAGGAACCAGCCCTACTGGCATGTGGATTCAGACTTTAGCTTCCGGAACTGTGATAGCAGAAAGTGTTGCTGTGTCCCCCAGTTTATGGTGACTTGTTACCACACTCTGGGACACTCACCTCTGAGCCTTCCTCAGATGCATTCTGTCCCAGCTCCCTGCCTCTGCCAGTTAGAACAATGAAGCACATTTGTTGTGGACATTTTAGGAAATACATTGGAAAACTATAAAGGAAAACTATTTTCAGAAACATTTATAACCTCCCACTCAGATAAATGCTTCTGATATTTTGGTGTATTTTCTTCCAGATTTCTTTTTTTTATAGACAAGTATGTGTGTATGTGTGTGTGTATTTGTGTGAGCACACGTGTGACTATACAGGGTTACATCTTGCTTCTGTCCTTTAGCATTGCTGCCCGTACAGGGCATGCTTTAAAGTCAGCCCTGGCCACACTTCCGGGTTGACCTCTCTGACCCTCCCATGGAGTCCTTTGCATTGAGTCAGCTCTGAGTGTGCCCTGGAGGAAAGCCGGCCCTGCCCCAGCCTTGCCCCCTGCGCTAAGCATAGGATGGCTCTCTGGTGCGCCCCTTCCAGAATGCTGTGTGGGTTCCCGTCCCCTCTCTGTGTGTCTTCCAGCCTCAGGAATCCACCCACCCTGATTCTTGGGCAGACAGTGACCTTGCTGTCTCTTGCCACATCCTTGTACGTGTGCAAATGCTTTGGGGCAGGGGATTTGGCCTGATCCCCCTCGGTCCAAGAACAGTTGATACTCACGGTGGTGCTCTCGTGATTACACAACCATCATCCCCGAAAGGAAAGACCTGCTGACGCTGGTGGAGCTGACCCCTCGCTGCCCGCAGAGGTGTTTTCACAGCTGCTCTGCCTCCCTCCCCCATGCTGCCCAGCTGAAGTTCCCAGAGTGGAACCTTCTCTCAGGAGTGCACTGTCTGCTCACCAAATGCATTCCCCTCGCTTCTCACTAGACCCTCATTCTGAGGAAGGTCAGACTCAACCTCAACAGGCCGAGAGAGTGAAACAGCAGCATTTTGTAGTTCTGTGGACCAGTCTGTCGGGACTGGGTTCTGTGTGCAGCAGGCCTGTTCTGGGCCCTGGCGAGATAGGAGCTCTGGAGCTGTGGGGAGGAACTAGGGGAAGACAGGCGTGGCTGTGGTTTTTAGGGTCCTGCAGATTCAGCAGGAGCAGAGTGGGAGGGAGTGGTGCAGGCTCCTGAGTGAGGAGGTTCAGAAAGGATTGAGCTGGAGGAGCTGATGCCAAACTGGGTTTTAAAGGATGAATAAGAGTTTTCTGAGTAAACAAGGAAGGGGTGGGTCAAAGGGAGAAAGCATTCTGAACAGAGAGAACAGCAAGTACAAAAGTAAAAGCCACTCATCCTTCTGCTGGGGAGCAGAACCAGGTTTCCTGAGTGCACCTCTTTCTTCTTGGTGTTCTGGTTTTACCTCTGAGGACACCAAGACCATAAAGGCAAGCCTTGGGCCGGGGAGGACAGCAGTGCTGTCCAGGTCCCAACAGTTCAGCCAGAGTAAGACCTGCCTACTGCATCTCTCAGACCCTAGCCGAAGTCTGGAAGGAGGCTCACGGGCCATAACACGGTCTTCCAGGAGGACTCTGTGTTTCCTGCTTTTCTTCCTTTAAGAACAAGTATTCTTTTTATACTGGGAACTGAAAGTGAAGGTTTCTGGCCTTCTTGGTCCTCAGTCCAGCAGAAGTAGTCCATCAATTCAGCTACCGACGAGCCCCTACGATGTGCTGGGCGGGTGCTGGGTGCTCAGTGTACATACAGGGCCCAATAAAGGCAGGAGCCCGGCCCCTGCTCTCTCTGTCAGAGAAGCTGGACTTTGGCTCTGTCCTGACAGATGTCTTGGTGCTGAGCAGGAGAAGGGCAGGACGGTGGCAGCAGCGTATGGCAGGACACTGGCCCAGTTATTGCATTGCCTGCTGTGTTGTCTACTGCTGACAGGTTACCCCAAACTTAGCAGCTGGAACAGTTTCTGGAGGTCGCTAATCTGGGTCTTAACACCAGCTCTCTCTCAAGGCTGCAGTCTGGATGTCAGCTGGGTCTGCGTCTCACCCAAAGGTTTAACTGGGGACGGGTCTGCTTCAAGGGCACGCTTGAAGTTGTGGGCAGCTTCTGGCTCCTCTGGAGCTGTTGGCACTGGGGCTTCAGTTCCTTGCTGGCTTTGGTGAGGGGCCATCCTCAATACCTTGCCACCAGGTCTCCCCAACTTCATCCAGGTCACCACAACCTTTTGTAGTCAGATCATGGTGTGACATCCTGTTACCATTGCCATATTCTATTGGTTAGAAGCAAGTCACTAGGTCTAGCTACACTCAAGTCGAAGGGACTACAGGGCACGACTACCAAGAATCAGGGGTCTTATGGGCCACTGCCCATTCTCCAACTGGCCTTCCAGGTACTGGGGCTCTAGCCAGAGAACTGTAACTTCCATCTTGATCCAGCTCCAGTGGCAGAGGGAAGGTGTGTTGCTGTCTACATTTTAAGTGTCACTGACAGCAGTAGCTGTTCCATCACTTGTTAAACATTTGTAAAAGTATGTAACAATAGAATTGTTGACTCATGGCCTGTCTGAAATGGCTGGCTCATTACCGATCCCAGCCAAAAAGGCTGATAAACATTGTCGTGTGTTTAGATCACTCTTGAAGAAACAGTCACTTGGAGCCGAAGTTCCGAGTTCCAAGCTCAAGTCCTTGGGTTGCTCTCTGGCAGCTGGATTGGGCCAAATGGTTCTTTTCCTTTTACAAATTGGCTTAAAGGGGAAAAGACCCACTTTTATTTCTAGTTTTAGGTTCAAACTTAGCCTTTATTTGTGTAGTTGATCAGAGGTAGAGGGTTTGAAAGTGTTTGAATTATAGGCAAAGTCAGATCGCTTTCAAGTTTTCAGAGAAGGGTATAAATGGTTAAGTCCATTTTTTGTTTTCTGGAGGAAAACAGAGGAATAATGGAAAGAAGTAGATGGAATGGTTCATATGGTGGAAGAGGCCAGCCAAGGATTCCTGTTCCAAGTTTCTATCTGTAGGAAATGACAACAATTTAAAAGTAAATTGATGCATTCCTATGCTAAATTGGCCTAGTTAATTAAAAAGAAGCCATCACTTAGAAGCAGAATATTTCTTTATTTAATCCCATTCTTAAGTGGTATAGACTCTTCAAAAGCATCTTACATTAGCCTCCTGCCTCTTCTCCTGTGAGACAGCTCAGGCTCTGCCTCTTAATTCTGAAGCCGTTACAGCCCCCATTAAATGCAAGAAGTGCCCTGAAGGCTGCTGGCCCCTCCAACCCAGTTGCATTCCTATTTTATTCAAGGGATGTTTGGAGTGGGGTCATGCACCATCTGTTAAGGATTTTACTGCATCTATATTTTGGTTTTAATGTGGTGTGGCGTCTTAATGCAGAGCCCAGAAACGACCACCACAGGAGCACTCGGCTTTTGCATTTATGATGGTGAGTCCAAGGGGAGGGCACTCAGCTTGGTTAAGAATTAGAACTTGATTTTGACCAGAATCCCTTGAGCCTGGGAACTGGGGAACCTGGGTAGTTGTTTTCTTCATCTGCTGATATAAGCTGATTTTTTTAAACAACCCCTGGACTGGTTAAATAATTCATCTGTTTATGCTGATAAACTAGGCAGGGAATGAGGCTTTTAATGAAATGCATCCATTTCTGTGCAGTTGCTCCCTGGGACACAGAGCACAGAGCCGTGATGGGGCTAAACGCTTGGACAGGAGTCCTGGTTCTATTGATCTCCCTCCATCTGCAGCGTGTGTGCTGGGCGTGATGGTGGTGAGCAG